ACGCTGTAACCATTGTTTGTAATTTCTACAACTGCATTTGTTAAGTACTTTCCACTCTAGTCCACCACGATTTCTCTCTGTGGCTATCAAACCAAAAGTATGGTTCCCATTTCACCGAAGCCATTTAAGTTTTTGAACTAAAGTGTTCCATTTAATGCGTAAACCTTTTATTGCATACTATCTTTTGCTCGCTACTTCGTCGGCGTGGAATTAAAAAAATAGTAGCCCGTGTGTTCTTCCAGACTACCCTCTTCATTCATGCCAAATTTCATCGAGATCCATTCAGTAGTTTAGGCTACAAACTCTAACAAACATCCATCCATCTAAACTTTCGCATTTATCATATCTTTATAATTTTACAAGATAATAGCTCAATCTAGATGGCTGCAATTTGAATTTAGTCAGATGATTGAGATCGTCATTATCTCGCCTTCTCTAAAAGACTCAAACCTACTTTAATAAGTGATTTCGTGATAGATACATATGTTCTGTTTGAAAGTCATCGACTAATCACTGCGCCCACTGAAATCGGCTCAAATATTAAAAATATTTTCATAATCTGCCTTTGCTGAGTTACGTTTCTAATTTAAATTCTGTTGCACTTTAAAGTTTACTGTCGAGTCTCGTGTATTCGATGCCTCCTGGTTAAATCCCGATATGCTAGAGACATACGAGATTTATTTGAAATAGTTTTTTTCCTTACTTAAACTGAGGAGGAAAGCTTTTTCCCTTTTTACTAGTAAAAGTTATTCCAGAGATGTCAATTGCCCTGCATCAAAGAACCCGTCAGGCTTATGTCCTCTTAGAATTATATCGAAACTAAAACCCTTATTCAAACATATTTTTACCCTTGTACAATTTATTGGATATTGCAATTTTTTATTTAACAAAGTTGACAATCGCTTTAAATTTAATTGAAATAATTAAACCGATATTTCTCTTATATCAAGTACTTAAAATTCTTTTTGTCATAGTTTCATTTTTTACGTTTTATTGCATTTAAAATTGGTATCATGTAGAACTGGGACGTTACAATATCGAATACAGGGTAATATTTTCCCACATAGAGCATGCAGTAAAAAACAGATTCGGATTAAATCGGAACTAACAAATACACATCCTGCTGGTCGTTAGCGATTGTTTCCCAACGATTGTGCAGTTTTAAAGTACTTTAAATGAGTTTGTTTTTCAAAGCTCTGTGATTACGTAAAGAAAAGCCGAGTTGGTCTTGGCTGTTTGTAAGATTCCAGTTTTAATTCAGGTATACTAAAATTTTGTTTCATTCGAATAAATTTGAAGGAGTACTAAGAATATTTATGAGGAACTCGAATCCACAGATTAGTTAATTCAGAGGAACCATATTACTTTAATTTTCCATTTTACTGCAACTTCGTTTATAAGGATTATGTTCATGGCATGGCATAAGTAACCTATTTTCTTATTTTTACTTACGACACTTACTCGCTGTTTATAAAAAAAGTAATAAACCGAAAATATCTGGTATATGTTACCAAATATACTTTTCTAAAAAAATAACTTCTTACAACTCGATATTTCAATTCACTTTTATATAAAAAAGTGGTCATAAATGTGTGTTTTCTGTTCAGAGTAGCTCTCGGAGCAAGCAAAGTATCGAGAACTTTTCCGCGTCATTAATCTCTCCTTTCATTTATCGTGAGTGTCACATTTAGTAATAATCTTGGGACAATAATAAGTTTACCGAAGCATTCGAATAACGATACAAAATAATTGACTTTTGTTCAAACATTGATACGAAATAATTAGTTTCTTTGATTAAGCGTAACTACTGTTAAGACGCTAGAACTAGTCATAAGTAATTTAGACCCATAATACTACATTTCTTATTACAGACAAAAATATAAATACAACCGGATGAATTATATTTTTTTACTAAAATTAGAAAATTCATTATATAATACTGCCACTAAATTTTTTTTTATCATAAGAGTGTTAATAACATATCGATTATCGCAAAGCTGTGTCTAAGCGTTAGTTCTATTAAGATTTTATGAAATAAATTTTCTGCGCAGGAGTATAATAGGGATAGTTAGTGAGGCTAACTTCTAAGTGAGACTGATTCTTGCAATGTCATTAAACAGCACAGGGAATATCTCTTTATGAAATGAAATCCATTGATTTTGGAAAAAAGAAGAATCATTTTGTAATAAAAAAAGTCATAAATATAAATCTATGAAACGAATAAAATTGCGTGAAGCTTTAAAGGCGTTCTATTTATGGCAGCTAATAACTCATCGTGTAAGTACTTATCGTAGCGTGTATTACGGATTAAACACATTGTTTGGCAACTCTTTTTGAAATTCGTATACAACAGTTTTATCACAGTAACATCCATAATCTTTCTTTTTATAGGATGAGAAAAATACCAAGCTGTTACAGCTGGTACTACAAAAGGCAAAAAAATATACGTCTTTTAGGTTTAAAAAGGCAAATACAAATACCGAAGATAGGTTAATTATACAATATCGTCTGATTTAAGTCGACGGGGAAGGTGGAGTTTTAGTGATCTTTAAAACCAGTTCAGGTGAAACATTAAATTCAAGATTTTAATAAGTGAAATAATTAACTAAAATTCACCCCACGTGCGGACAAACCAATGATATGATTTTTGAGCTATATTTGTATTTTGTCTAAAATTTTATAAATAAATAAAAAAATATATTATTTCAAATCCATAAAAAATATACCAACGTTTTAAGTAATTAAAACTCGATTGAAACAGTATGAAACTTCTCTAAACACTGAAAGTCTTGATCCTTTTACTAAGATTTACTAACTATCGTTATCTGACAGCGAAGAGCATAACATCGATAAGTTATAAATTTCATTAAACATTTCAGCACCAGCTGTTTGGAATTTATTATTTATTAAATAGTTAATTTAAAAATCAGAAAACAGGGCTTAGAATAGTATTTCCAAAGAATTTATGCTCGATAAATTATACAGATAAAAAATATTGGTACAGATAATAAACTTGGGTTAATGTTAAAGATGAAAATACATTTTAACATTAGAATATAATAAGCAAGAAAAGCAAAGAAAACCCCAATTTTTGTTACGCGATTTTGAGCCAAACTATTTAACTACGCTGTAGTTTTGACTCCAAAAATTAAACAAAGAAATGATACCAATCTGCAAGCACAACCTTTCAGATAAAAAAAAGAATTTTCAAAATCTTTCTACCATGGCCGGAGTTATGCCGTAACACACATTAAAAAAGCATACAGACAAATTGAATACCTCCTTCTTTTGGGACATAGTTAAAAAGCTAAGATTATAATAATCTGGTCTGTGATTTGTTTTATTTCAAATAAAAATACTGCAGTTGTGTTCACGCGGCATAAATATCAACCAAAAAAGTAATGAATGTATGTAGGTTAATGTTAATGTTTTAACTTTTGTATTACGTTCCACTTAAATTCCACATCAGAAATTCATAAATTATTATAACGTGTGTTCATTTCTGGTACAAACACAATAATTGTATTTATTAACACAACGTACTAGCTTTCACCCGCGACTCCGGGCGCGTGGAATTTAAAAAAAAAAAACAAAAGTAATTAAGTATGCAGATTACCATCTATGCCAAATTTCATAGGCCTCCGGTACCACACTCACCAGACGAAACGCGGAATTACTTCCACTTCACTGTCTTCTGTGTGGTCGTGGTATTGCACCGGGCCAGCCGGCCCATTGTGCGAAGATGTTAAAGTGGGCTCTACCACTATTTCAAAATGTAAACTGTATTTTCTAGTGACTAAAATTATTTCGCCAATCTTGAAGTTAATCTTTAAAATTTGCATCCTTAGTTATTTTTCATCCTTTGTTTTTTTTTTCAAAATATAGTCAGATTAAAGAGAAAAGTCTGTGATTAATGAATAGATAACATGATACTGCCACAGCATTTTAATTAAAAGTAATATGGCATCGGACTGGCTAAAAGCAGAAAATCCCGTAGCAATGTGGACAGGAAAAAAACCGACGGCCGTATCACCGAATATTGGAGCTTTGTAAACAGCTAATGGAGTCCGTACCCACTATGTTAGGATCAAGCGTATTACGAAAGAGGTTTTTTCAGTAAGGTTTCGGACATTGCCAAATTTCAACGGCCAGCAGTATAAGTCAAAATTACATTAAAAAAAACAAATGTAAAATACACATCTTACTTAGAACATAGACGTGTGGGATATACGCTTCAAGAACATATATGTAATGTAAGAATACAACAATAAAAAAATTAAATAAATCTTCATTGACGCAAAATCAGAACTAAAAAAAAAGCGAAGTAGAAGCAATAAAATAAAAAGCACATATTGATATCAATAATTTTTTTAACTCTAACATCACTTTGAAAATTCTTTAGCTGTCTGTACCTTGGGAGTGAAATAGCGTGCGCTGATTTTACAATTACAAAATTGTAACCAGTTGTTGGTAAAATGAACGTAATGAAAATAATTTGTGGCTCAAATAAAATTACCAGGAACGATGGAGCCATCTTCAAAATTTTATCAGTATAATTCGATTGCCCCATCGACAGTTACTCTGTGCCATTTTTTACAACAGTTCATTTGGAATTTAATAGAAAAAAAATTATTAAAACACATCTTACATATCACGAATTTAAAGCGAGTATTCATTAAAAAAATTCCAATCATTTTGATAAAAATAATAAATTACCTGAAAAAATATTATCCTAATAATAACTAAATGCATGTAATTTAAAAAAAAAGTTACCAGACGTCAAAATTATAATGCACTTTTTGAAAGTTCTCATGTTTTAATGTAGAAAATACAATATACACCAAAAATTAAGATTTATAAATTTTCCCTTTTCAGGTAATTTTTTTTTAAATAACTCGCGTCTACATTTTGTATCTTAATTGCTTAAATTTATAACATAAATTGTCAAACATATTTGGTAAAAAATTAAAAATCATTTCTTTCGTAAATTTATTACTTACCAATAGAAACCACATCACTTCGCACATGACCTTTGGTAACTCCGTCAAAGTACATCATAAAAAGTAAAGTCAACACAGTTTTAATAATCATTTTGAATAATTTGAATTGCGCCATTTTTAAAATTCTTTAGTCCGTTAATTTTTATGGAAAAGTTATTTCAACATTTTGCGCTGCACATTACTTTCGCGCTCACTAGCAAGTCGGGTCCCGAAAGTTTAAGTTGGGTTCCCGCGCGTGAGTCCGATTACTCCCGCTGTCGAATACCGACTGCACTGAGCCAAGCCACCCGGTATCCGCCCGCCCTCGTCACCCCCAGGATCCCTCCCTCCCTATACGAAACGCACGACTTGTTTTATTGCTTTTATTTTTCTTTAATAATCTTGTTTAATGGTCTATTTCGTTCCCAATGAAACTTCTTAATTTTTTTTCCATCGATTATTCCCACCTATGGTACATTGTTTTAATAGAAATGTTAATTGAGAACTTAACAATTACGAATTAAAAAAAAACCGTACCGACTTTTTTTGCACAATCTAGATAATATAATAAAGTCGATTGAATGCCATCATTTGATTTAGTTCTTCAAAATGTTAACAAATTGATACGAATCTGTGTGAAAATGATTCGATCATATAAGGGCTTTTTGGAATGCTGCTAATTCCTAATATTGTTTAAGAATAAATAGTTTATGACACATAATTGCGTGTGATATTTATCATTTAGCTACCAATATTCATTTAATTAAAAAAAATGTTTTTTCTAAATCTTCCGTGCGTAGAAGACAGGAGGACTTTCGATGGAAACATTTCCCGTACGGTAACTGGTTTTTGTTTAGATTTTGTCTCGGCCACTGAAGTTTGATTACGCGCTTAAACTTCGTATTGTTTTTAAATTGCAGCACGGGGCACACTCGGTAAACTGAAATGCGATAAAAATTTCCGTGTCCAGTCTATCCCCAGAACAAATAGTTTTAATTATGGAACTTTCTGTTATGTATGTACTTGTATGTATTCTATCGCAAAATATTATATATGACGATGTAATAAAATAATGCAAATTAAGTGTTCTTCTGGACTATGCTTCACATCTATATAAAATTTAATCAAAATACGTTCAGCATTTTAGGCTTAAAACGCTAACAAACATCCATCCTTCTAAACTTCGCATTTATAATTTTAATATAAAGTATGGTAGGTAGCTACAGCTTACATAGAAGCTTTTTTTTTTCTTTATAATTTTTTCTTCATTTGTGTCTTTTACATTTTGAATAAAGTATTTTTTTCTGTTTATTTATTTTATCGGTCATTATCAACAGCATCTAAAGGAATTCCAAATCATTCTGCCTTTTCAACATTTATCTTCGGACAATTTGGGAAGGCGAATTTAAGGACAGACCCAGAAACGTTTAACAGAAAATTACACAAACGCTACAAAAGGAATTGCGCCAAATTTTCTTTCAGATACAATACGTGATAAAGCCTTCTGGAAATAACTTTCGTTAATTTTTTTAAAGTTTATTTTTTACTAGCTGTTGCTCGCGACTTCGCTTGCGTGAAATTAATCAATATGAAAAAAAATGGCGCTTTTTAATGGGCAAACAATTTTTGAAAACATCCCAGTAGTCTTTGAGTTATTCTAATACATACAAAAATACACATATTTCTTTATAATTTTAGTATAGATTTAAAACAACATAAACATACGGGTCCATGGGTCCAAGCGTAGTAAGTAATAAAGGATAGTTAATAACCTGTTATTTATTAATCTTTAATATTATTTCTTAAAAAAAAAAACGTTATTTACTACCATAACTCAGGGGTGTCAATTCAAACATCGGTCGCATCGACTTAAACGATGCATCCACTCACCAGAATTATCACGCTTTTCCCAACTCCGTTGCTTGCCAAATATCTATTCATAAATTATTGTTGTTTGACGCATTATGGCAAAATCTATTACAACGAACGATCCACCCATTATTATTATATATAGGAGAATTTTCATAACATCTATCGACTAATATTCTTTGCGTTCGTGATATACTAAAATCTACATTGTTCGTACAGTTGGTTTTGTTTGCTATCACAATTTAAAACTATACTTTAGATTCCTGGGCAATGGAATTCGTTTTTTATATGCGTTTATTTCATTGAAATATAAACATATTTTACAAGTTTAAAATTTAGATCAATTGGGATTTTCTTGACTTAGTTAAAGATAAAAACATAGATATCTTAAGTGATTCTAAAAGGTTCTTCTATTGGTTTTTATGACATCGAGATTATCATTAGACTTGCTTACTTTGTGTTCTAGAATAGTTGCTTCATCATAATAATAGTTTGGTTGAGATATAATTTTTTGTATTGATTTGAAGTTTCTGTCAAAAAACGTATTTTTCGAGGTAAACAAAACACCATAGCCAAATTAATTATATTAAATTAATGTAATTAATCAGACTCAATCATTAAAAGTGGTCAGTAGCTTCAGTCATTTTTAATTGTTCATTGGTTTGCACAATTTGTACAGTCCGTTATGTGGTTTGCAATATGAGCAACTGATGTTTGATTTTTAAATAAAGTTTCGCTTATACACAATTATTATATTGACGATTGTTTAATATAAACTGAATAACTGAACCGAATGTTTCTTAAAAGCTTGAAAATACTCTTGTACTTTATTTCATCTAACTTTTTATTATGCAAACAATATGTCCGCTTTTATAAAGACGACCACATCTAGAAACGTTTAATTAATTTAGACTTGTATGACATTTGTGTACGAACGTTATTCATGCTACGATAGTCGTAGCAGATAATTAAAATACTTTTCATTTATCTTTCGACTTTTGTACACCCGCACGGCGTCCGTAAGTTCCCAGCGCACTCCCGATTTAAGCACAACGTAAACATATCTTGCAAAGTTTTAAATTGAAATTACGATCACATTTGCCGACGAACGTAGCCCGATCCCTGCCGGGGATAGGTGTAATAAAATTAATTTGTTGTACGTGCGAATAATTCTATATATGATATGGGTCGATGGAATAATTATAAGGATTATTGTGTACACATTTGATTGGATGAAAATATATTTCAAGGTAATAAATAAAAAAATTAAGTAAAAATTATCAGGAGAGATCGTGGTCAAGCGCTAACTTAATTAACAAAAAAATGTAAAGATTGACAGTAAAAAAGGATCTATAAAAAATAAATCTTTAAATGAAAACGGTATGTGCGTTTCTACTGCCAGAACATCTTTATAAAAACCCATTGATGTACGGATAAAATAACTGTTCGTTGTTGTCAAGTTCAATGATAGGTTATGACATAAAGCTTAGTCCACGAATAAAAGCTCTCAAACATCAGCATTTGAATAAACATCCAAGTATAAGCCAGTGCGGGAAATTACAGTTGCTTTAAGACGTTAGGTTTAAGCAGCATTATTCTCGAAGGCTGAAATGTTTCCGTGATCACACTTTATACAGTCTACTTTCTTCTTTAGTTTGATTGTGCTAGCCTGCGTTGTTTCACCCTACTTCAGCATTAAGCCTTTTATCAAGTAGGTTAATTGTTAGGAAATGAAACTATATTGCAATAAAAGTAGAAGATTAAAATGAAGGGAAATATTAATTTTAATTTAAAAATCCATAAATGCAAATCTTTCTTCTTTATAATATCAGCATTGATATGTAATATGAAAAAAGATTTGTATTTTCGTATGTTTTTAATAAATGGAATGAAAAATATCGGTTTTAAAAATCCCTTCATCATTAAAATGTAAATAATCTCTGAGTTACCTATGCTGTACTTTTATATCAGGTAGCAAACGAGCAAGCGGCCAACTGAATTCGAGGAAACAGAAGCTACCGCTGCTTTTAATATCATTATAAAATAAAAGTCCATCCATGCGAAGCTTGGTCGGGTTTATAGAATTCTATATTACTAGCTTTTGTCTACGACTTTGTCTTGAATATAAGCAATACCAACAAAGTAGCCTATGTATTATTTTAGACTATTTTCTGTAACAGATAAAATCGAGATACATAGTAACAAAACTCTATCATTCTCTTTGCATTTGTCATATTAATGTTAGTAAGTACTTATTTAATTTTTATATATCTAAGATAGCAAAGGAGCAAGCGGTAACTAGAATTCGCCGAAATGGCGAAGCGACCGCTGCTCGTAGACATTCGCACGATGGAAGAGGGAACGCACAAAAACAGGATATTTCCCTTCCCATGCGTCTCCACCGCCGTCAAATCCACTTTTCCTTTTTAAGAAAGGAGTGGAAAGTAAAAGGGACTAGAACAAGGCGCCCGTCACCACACTCATCAGACGGAACGCAGAATTGCTTCCACTTCGCGTATAGACGTGTAGAAGATAGCTTCTGTGTGGTCGTGGTTTTGCTGGGGGCGAGCTAGCCCATTCGTACGATGATGTTAAAGTGGGCTCTACCACTTTAAAGTGTGTAAAACTTATATATCTAGTAATCTTAGTATGGTTATTTTAAAGTCAAATGTTAATATTGAAGTAAATATAAACATATATACAACATGTCGGGTTCAAAGGAAACGTAACCGTAACGTACTCACGAAGTATCTTTACTAAAGTTGAACATACTTCCTCCTCGCCATAGAGCTCGTTTGTGGGTACTTCTTAATGGCTCCTTAATTTTGTTTAATAGTAAATTGTAGCGTTCATTAGTCGCGGCCACGATTCCTTCCCATTATGTACCTTCCTATTTACAAAGGAATTTAAAGTGGCACAGTTCGGGGAGTGCGGAGTAAGAAAAGAACCTACTTGTTTAAATCCTTTTATTTATTACCAACAGTATTTGTTGCTGGTTTTCGATTCTTTTTGGTTCTTATTATAAAACAAGTATACTAATGAACATGAAAGATATATTTTAATGCCGCATTTCTTATTAATTTTTACTACCAAATACTAAAACGAATCCTAAATGATCTGCTTCATATGCGTCGCTTAATATCCTATAGGCATAAAAATTTGAAGATTAATCTTGGCTTCATCGTTTAATGTTCGGTTTCCCAGCTACGTTTAACCATTCGTTACTGTTTTTGGCTCGATTACTTCATGAAATGCGTTACTTAACTTGAGTTTTACTCAGTTGAAAGATAGGTCGACTTAACACTAATGAACCGCTAGGCAATGAGGAATCAAATAGAAACTTAAAGAACCCAGAATAAGACTTTGTTACATATTTACATGACGTTTCAGTA